CTCAGGAGCTGCAGCTCCCTGCAGGGAGTGGCACAAAAAAACCCCACAGGCACTGGGTTGTTTTGTTTTTTTTTTTCCATTACTTTATCCAGTGTTTTTTGTGGAATTTCCAGGCAACTACAGCCAAACCAAACAGACAAAACTGCAGATAAATGCTTGGTCCTTTAAATCTTGTAAAAGGATATTTCCAGGATGGGGGAAAAGAGAGAAATAGGGGTTTTAGCTGGGCTAAAAACTTGTTAGGGGGGAGATGTGAGGTGAGAACAGTGACCTTCCCAAATCCCACATTGTGCAGGGAAGTCTTTGCCAGGGATTGTTGGGACACAACCCAAGGAAGACAGGAAAAAAGAGCACAGGAAGGGCTGAACATCCTCTCTTCTTTATCCCACCTTCAGCACTCACCTGTTTGCTTCCAGCCTGGGCAAGGCTGTGAAAAAAAATGCTCTGGACCACTGCCAGGACAGGGCAGAGATCCCAAAACAGCCTGGGATTCATTGTCCTGATGGACAAATATCCCATAACAACCTGGGATTCATTGTCCTGCATTGAGACATCCCAAAACAGCCTGGGATTCACTGTCCTGATGGACAAACATCCCATAACAACATGGGATTCATTGTCCTGATGGACAAATATCCTAAACAGCCTGGGATTCATTGTCCTGCATTGAGACATCCCAAAACAGCCTGGGATTCACTGTCCTGATGGAGAAAAATCCCATAACAACCTGGGATTCATTGTCCTGTTATAGAGAAGTCCCATAACAGCCTGGGAGTCACTGTCCTGATGGATAAACATCCCATAACAGCCTGGGATTCATTGTTCTTATGGACAAATATCCTAAAACAGCCTGGGATTCACTCTCCTTTTATAGAGAAATCCCATAACAGCCTGGGATTCACTGTTCTGATGGATAAACATCCCATAACAGCCTGGGATTCACTGTCCTGATGCACAAATATCCCAAAACAGCCTGGGATTCATTGTCCTGCTGGGGAGAGGCGTGGGCAGAGCAGGGCAGGGAAATTCCAGCCTGGCCCTGGCACAGCCACACTCCCCTCTCAAGCCCAGCCAAAAGCTCTGAGGAATGTTCTTGTCTGAGCAGCAGCAAGGTCAGGAGTTTGTGCTGCAGAAAACCCAGCCCTGGGGCTGTGCCCAAGGAGCGTGGCAGGAAAAGTTGCAGTTTGCACCAGTCCCACTGGAATTGCCTTGGAAATGGAGATTAAACAGAGATTTAGTTCCTAACTTCACCCCTTGAGTGACTCCCTGCCTGCAAAACCAGGACCTATTCATGTGCACCGCAAATTGAAATGGTTGTGAATGAAATTACCTTTAAATTTCATTTTATCACTGGGAAAATCCATGCTCACAGATGGGATGATCCTCACAACCTGCATGGGATGGTGCTGTTGATCCTGTGGGACATGGAGAGGCACCAGCTCAGCCTCCCAATATTCTGCACTCAACAGGAAAACACAGCACAGAGAGAATAATCATTAGGGTTATTGTTAGGGTTGGAACACAGATTAATTAGGGTTTGAAAATACCTCCAAGGATGGGAGGAAGCTGACACAAAAATCTCCCAGGTAGGAAAATGCTGTTTGGTCCCTGTTTGGAATGGAACAAACAAGCAAAATTTTTCTTTAAGCAAAAATCCCAAAGGTAATTTTTTATTTCTTTCATTTTTAACCCTCTGGGAATTTTCTTTTTTTTTTTCCACACAGGAAACAATTTAAAGGAATAGTTTCATTCTAGGTTTCATTTCCAGCACCCAAACCCCAATATTTTTCATGGATAAATGCGATATTTCAAAGGATTCCTTTGAACTTGCTACCTTTACAAGGATTTTGCTTTCATCAGAACACAATTTTTCTGTCAAAACCTGTCTTTAGTGAAATCGAGTCAATCAATGAGATCCTTTGGGCGGGATTGGGTTTGAGCTGAATTCCAGTTTGCTTTGAGGAACGTGCCCTCCTGTGGGTAGCAGAGACAGCTGCAGCAAGCTGGGAGAAAAGAAAAGGAAGAGAAAAATCAAACTTCTCTCTCTTGACAACTTTTTGAAATTAATCCCCTTCCCCCAGCCCCTGATATTGTGTGAGAGGTGCGAGATCTGGCTCATGAACAGGCTGGAAAAAACAAAGAAAAATTCATCCTAGTGATCAGCTTGGCACACGAGGTGGCAGACAAATAAAAATAAATGTAAAATAATAAAAAAGTGCTGTGGTGATTCTGTCTGAGCCCCGTGGGGTGCAGGGTTTCCCAGAGTTGTTATGCTGAGCGTTATCCAAAATTTCAAGTATTATCAAGTGTTCAGAAAAGGCTGTGGCACCTGGGGACAGAGTTGGTGGTTGGGTTTGAAGATCTCAGAGGGCTTTTCCAGCCTCAATGGCTCTGTGGTTCTGTGATTTTCAGGATGTTGTTGGCACCTCTGCCTTGGGTTTCACTCAGTAATCAGCACTTTGGGAAGAACAGGAGCACACCCAAATGTGTTTTACATTTCTTTTTGCTGTTCAGCAGGTAATTGTGCCCTAAAAAATCAAGGTATCAGAGCTGCAATAATATATTGGAGCTGATATTAAAGGGGAGAGGGATGAGGAATTTCATTCATCTCCTGGTAGATTTGAGTGATAATTCAAAATCAGCATGGTGCAACTCAGTGTGGCCAAACCCAATATATTTACTCCTGCTCAAGCAGGAATAAGTGACCACAGGATTAAAAAATAGCTGTTTATTGAGTGTTTTTTAGGAAAGGTCTGGTATTTTCCAGCAGGAAAACCAGAGGTTTGCTTCATTTGTAAAACAAGAGACTGAGGGAAGGAATGAGAACAACGTTCAAACACAGGAGTGTTTAAGGCACATTTATTAATCTGGTCTCAGCAGGAGTAAAGGTGGATATTTATATGTATTAGGTGGTTTTTAAAAAACTATTCCACCTCTATTTTCTCTTTTACTGCATGTGTCACTCACCTAAAAGTTGTTCTTTTAAAATATCTCTGGCTTAAGCATCTACAACCATTAAGAACAAGAATTATTTTTCTCAGGAGCTTCTCAAAAGCTCACTCAGTGGTGGTCAGACACACAACTCCATGAATTTTTCCAGTGTAATTCTCGTGGTAATCTCCCAAAAGCAGGAGCAGCAACCCCAAATCTGCACTCTAACCAGTGTCTCCAATTTAAATTGCCTCGCTCAGTCACTTCCTTTTCCAGTAACTCCTTTCCCGAAGCGTTAGGTAAGAAAAGTAATAATCCTGTGGTGTTTGGAGCAGGCTGTGTTATTGGAGTCTCCATGGGTACAAATTCCACACACTTCCTTGGCTGAGGCTGGGACATACTTTTCAGAAAACGTTGCAGAAAAAATACATCATAAAAGCTGCTTTTTTTTTTTTTTTTTTTTAATTACATGTAAGGAAAGTGATCCTGGAAATGGTGAAATACCTGATGGGGATTTTTCAGAGCAAGCAGTGGGGATTCTGCTGAGTTTAACTGCAGGGGAAAAACCCAAAAAAAACCCCACAAACAGAGATATTCCGTAAAGCTGTATAAAAAACGCTGCTTTCCTTGGCAGCACCTGCATTCAAAAAATATGAGAGCAACCCAGAGCCTGGGCTGGGTTTCATTGACAAAATAAAACAGGAGGGGACGTGAGGAGTGAAGAAGCATCCAGCCTGGCCTTGGGCACTGCCAGGGATCCAGGGCAGCCCAGCTGTGCCAGGGAACAATTCCTTCCCAATATCCCATCGTAATGGGATTTTTTTTCCCCATCCAAACGTCACTTTCCCAGTGGGAGCCATTCCCTGTGTCCTGTCCCTCCATCCTTGTCCCCAGTCCCTCTCCAGCTCTCCTGGAGCCCCTTCAGGCCCTGCCAGGGGCTCTGAGCTCTCCCTGGAGCTTCTCCTCTCCAGGGGAGCCCCCCCAGCTCTCCCAGCCTGGCTCCAGAGCACAGAAGCAAAGCAGATTATTTCATCCCCAGTTCCTGCTTCCAGCCCTGGTTCCCCAAAAACCGAACACGTTTCTGCTCTCACTGAAATCAAGGGCACTGCTCAATACCTTGGCTTTAAATCTCAGGGCTTAGGGACTCTGAAGTCTCCCCAGAGCCTTTTCTTGTCCAGCTCAGCACCCTCAGCTCTCCCAGCCTGGCTCCTGAGCACAGAAGCAAAGCAGATTATTTCATCCCCAGTTCCTGCTTCCAGCCGTGGTTCCCCAAAAACTGAACACATTTCTGTTCTCACTGACATCAAGGGCACTGCTCAAACACCTTGGCTTTAAACCTCAGGGTTTGGGATCTGCCAGGGGCTCTGAGCTCTCGCTGGAGCTCCTCCCCTCCGGGGGAGCACCCGCAGCTCCCGCAGCCCCGGAGCATCCCCGTGCCTTTCTGCGGGCGCTCCGGGGCGGCTCCCGGCGCTCCCGCCGCCACCCCAGCGCCGGGCTCGGTCCCGCTGCCCGTGGGTGACGATTTTCCGTCCCAGGGCGCTGTGCCGCTCTCCCCCCGCACCCCCGCGGACTCCGGGCGCTGCATTTCACCGATATTCGCTCAATTCGCCCCAAACCCCGCTGCTGTCCCCGCCCGCGCCCATCCCGCGCGTTGTTGCCCGTGACGTCACGCCCCGTCGCCATGACGACGGCTTGATGTCACGTGGAGAAGCGGCTGCGAAATCAAACCGCAACCACCCCCCGGCGGCAGCCCGCCCTTGTGTAATGCTTAACAGAGCGGAAATAAACTTTTAAATTTTTTTTATTTTATTTTTGGGGGTGATTTATTGAGGTGAAATCACCGAGCCGGCCCCGCCCCCTCGCCCCCCCTCCCTTCCCTCACCGCCTCCCGCGCGCGCGCGCGCGCGTCACGCGCCCGGCCCCGCCCCGCGCCGAGGCGCCAAACCGCGCGCCAACCGCCCGCCACGCCCCCTGCGCCACGCCATTGGCCCTCCCGCCACTCGCCCCGCCCTCTATCGTGACGGACAGGCGCTGCGCCAATGGGCGGCGGCGGAGCGCTGGGCACGCCTCCTCGGGGCGGGGCCGGGCGGTGACGCGCGGGGCCGGGGTAGCAACAGTTGCCTCGAGACCCGGCGCCCGGCGCCATAGTGACCGTAGCCCTGGAGACTGTTACTTGCCAACGGCGGCAACGCGCGGCCCCGGCGGCCGGAGCCCAGCGCAGCCCGCGGCACCCGGCGGGGACGGCAGGTGAGCGGGGCCGCCCCGCGGCGGGCTGGATGCGGGACCGCGGCCGGGGGGGGTGCAGGGATGTGCGCGGTCTCCGCGTCCTCCGCGGGCCGGCGGCGCCGGCCCCGCTCGTCCCGGCGCGGGATGCGCGGTCCCGCGGCGCGCCGGGGCGGGGGGCGCCGGTCGCGCCGCCCCCGGAAAGTTGGGAGCGGGGGAGCGGCGGAGGCGGCGCCGCCGAACCGCCCCGGGCTCCCCCTCTCCCCGGCCGGTGCCGCTGCCCCGGAGCACCGCCCGCAGCGCGGCCCCGCCCGGGCACGGGAACCGACACCGCCCGGCCGGCGGGGGGGCCGCGGCCCCCGCGCACCGCCGCTCCGGCTCCGCGGGGCCGCCCGGAGCTCCGCGCTCCCGGCTCCGCGGGCGGCGCTGCCGGGGGGTCCCACCCGGTCCGCGGGGTGCGAGCCCCAGAGTGTCCGCTCCGGGTCGGGAGGGGGTCGCAGTGCTGGGGTCGGCACCGCTCCGTACTGTACCCGTGCCCTTCTCCGTGCTTTCCCTTTTTCCGTGCTCTCCCTGCTGTTCCCGTC